TATTAGGTGTTGGTTTGAAATGTCAAGACCAAAAAGATCAAAATGAAGATGGTTTATTTAATCGATTTATAATTGCTGTTGCATATAAGCATCGTCCTAATCGTGAAACAATTGAACCAAATAATAAGATACCAAAGCTTGCTCATTTATTTTATTTAACTAAAAAACTTCATCGTAATACAGAAGAATATATTTATGACGATGAAGGTAACTTTACTATTACAATAAAAACAAAACTATTCTCTTATATTGTTTAGCAAAAAAGTTTATAAAAGACGTAATTTATAATTATGATATGTTTTCATCGGATAAATCCAATGAAGATGATTTTCTAGCAAGGTAATTGTTTTATTTATTTAGTTTTTTTTATTAATTCAATCTATTAAACTTATGTATTATAGTTGTTATCAAAAATCAATGGAGCGAGTTGAACGTTTATCACTTGCTCTGCATATTTTTAAAATATGTTCTCGTCGTTTATTTAATATGGTGGAACATGTTGAATCATTTGGTGTTCTCAATGATCAATTTAAAACAATATGTACAGAACAAGAATTAAATGAAGGTGATCATGTAATTGATTATGACACGTGCTTTCGTGCTTCTCTATTAACCAAATTTTATCTTAACCAAACCAAAATACTTGCCGGTTATGATCCATTCACAGATCATATTTTAATAAATAAAAAATGTAAGATAATATACTTTACTACCTCTTGTATCGGTCTATGATGAATATTTTCATTAATTTTATACAAAACTCAAAAGATAAAAATAAAAGAATTAGTTTACAATTTATACTAATATGAATATAGATTTGCCTCATAGATAGTAAAATACCAAAAAAACAAATATTTTGATAATAAAAAGAAACTATTTATTTAACAATACATTATATCTATAATTTGATATTATAGATACTATGGATGTACCTGAAAGTGAAGTAAAACATATAAAAAAATACATTGAAAATCATCCATCTGATCGTCTTCTTCTATCATCACTTCCAGCTAATTTGAAAAGAAAAATAAGTAAAGATCAATATTTAAATATACTTCGACAAATGGAAGAAGAAGGCAAAGGTAAAATTGAAGAAACAAACAATACAACAGGTCCGAAAGCAATTGTGTTTATAAAAAAGAAAAAAATTGAACAACAACCAAATATAGCTTCAACAACAAATCAACAACAAACAAATGAAATTTCATTAGTAAATCATCAAGAAACAAATGAACCTTCATCAACAAACCGATCTGCTAATTGAACTCGTCATAAATATTACAATTTCTCTTTCTTTTTTATTTTTAGTTTTATTATTTTTAATAGCAAATGTTTCATCTGAGATTAAATGCTTGAAACAAGTCATAACTTTTTTTTTTTTATTTTAGATTTGAATGGATATTCATCAATCAGTAATACAAATGTACGAAGAATTAATAAATAATACTTCGAATGAAAGGTATGATCTTCGACTTATCTCATATACATATATACATATATATTTCTTTTCTAGTAATATCAAAATGTCACCAATAGTATCACTCGAACAAGATTTAAATGATCCTGTAGAAGATGCCGAATATGAAGAAGATAATAATCGTAATAGTGGTGTCAATGAAAATACTAATACTAATCGAAACAATGATAGTAATGGGAATAACGTAAATCATGAATATAATGAACATGGTGAAGTAACAGAGGATATTTTAGAAATTGTGGATATACCAACAAGTATGTAGTACATAAAAATAAATAAATAAATTAAAAAAGTCGTAAGACTGAGCATATATCCTAGAAAAAAAAATAATAAGATTGTAATTGATCTAATTTTATTCAACGTTTTGAATCAATCTTTTATCTAAATATAGTATGACAACTTAATAATATTTAAATTATTAAATTTGTTGTGATCGCTTATAAAATTAAATATAAAAATATATTTCAGATTTATCGATTTTTCAAAAATTTAACGTTTGTTAATTTTCCATTTATAGGATAAGAGTCTGAATTCAATATTCATTGTAGGTAATGAATCAAATGTAATAAAAATTAATCAGATTAATATTGATATTGATTTTCCGTAAGTTGTTGACTTTCGAATTAACTATATTTTATGCACAATATTTTTGACATTCTTGTTATGAATCTAATATAATTTATGGTTCACTTGCTTTTTTTAATTAAAACATATCAAACAATTTGCATTTCATTGAAGTTTGATTTACATATGTTATTCTATAATTGTTATGGTAGATGATATTTAATGTGTCTTTTATATTCTTTTCTACATATGATATAGATGGAAACTACGGGCAATGATTAGTTGTAAACATCCAAAACGAAAGTATATTAATTCAAATGGTGAAGGTGAAATATCAACATGGGATTTGGTTGATGATACCGGTGCTATCAATCTTGTTGCATTCAATTTAGATTCATATATAATGTCGAATAAACTAGTTGAAGGACAAGTAATAGAATGTCTAAATAAAATATTCTTTCATTCTATATTTATAGTCATATGAGTTCGATGGTTTATCAATTTGAACTGTTGATAATATGTACAAAAAATTACCTCATGCATATCAACTAATTGTAAATAAGACAACTAAAGTGCAAGAAATTATTATGTCATTTAATTATCAGTTGACATACAATATTACCAGTTTGAAAGAAATCGAAACACTATCGTTAAATTCAATCATTGGTTAGTAATTTTAGATTAAAACTAATTTAAAACTATGATTAATTTATATCCCCAATTATGTTGTATAGATGTTCAAGTACAAGTCTTAAGAGATTATGGGATTACAGCAGGAAATACAAATGGCAATTCATGGACTCGACGAGAACTTCATGTTGCTCAAGATGGTGTTCATATCAGATTAATATTATGGAATGAACAGGTTTTATTATATGTATAATTATTCATTTCCCTTTTTTTCTATTAGGCTAAAATAATTCCAACATCTGTCATCTGCAAATGGTTAAAAATAAAAAATATTAAAGTTGATTGGTTTAATGGTAAATCGAATTCAAATCATCTTTTTAATTATAGCTGAAGTTTTCTGAATGTTTAGGATCACGTACACTTGTTAGTATGGGAAACACCCGTTTATCCATTATTTGAATGATTTTACTGGCTAAAATTTATCAATGTTCAATAATTCTAGTCTACAGTAGAGAAAAAAAAACATTTGAATATTTGTCAATAACTTTCAATTGATTTGTTTTAAACATTATTTTAATCGAAAGAAAATGCGTCCTGTTTTTTTTCTTTCAAACTATTTAAATTAATTTCACCAATTA